AAGGTTGAGAAACTTAGCCCTATGTAGATACACTAGACCTACAGCTCTGCAGAATGGACCCAGAACTCAGGTATCACCCTCTCTAGTTCCATATGTTGAGAAGCTCTGGTGGTGTAGTGGTTCTCATGTTGGGTTGAAATCTCCAAGGTCAGCAGTTCAAAACCACCAGCCTCTTTGAGGGAGAAAGACGAGGCTCTCTATTCCCATAAGCAGTTACATTCTTGGATACGCACAGGGGCAGTTCTACCATGCCCTAAAAGGTCACTATGAGTTGGCATCAACTCAGTGGCACTGAGTTAGGTGTTGGGTTTTGAAAGTCATTGTGTTGACAGGGCTATAATATGTTCTTCAGTTGACTTTAGCTCTTAGCTGATTAAAGCTAAGTCTAGCTAGAACAAATGTACAGTGATATAATATATGTACTACAACAGTGATCCAGAGCTAAGTTATAGTCTCAGGTGTGTCAGACCAATACCCATAGAGAAACCTTAATTTTGTGCTCTTTTTCTTTAGGTCTCAATTATATTATCATGGGTCAAGTGGGTGAAGATGGGCGAGGCAGAATCATGCCAAACAGCTTTATTATGATGTTCAAGACCAAGAATCAAAAACTCCTGAATGCCCTGAAAAACAAGCAATGCTAACAGGGATTCTGGCAAATCATGCTGCTTTCTGTCACTGCTTTGAAAGATCAACTATCTCTTAGTAGAAAATGCTAACAAGAAGAATCAACAAACTAAAACAGCCCAAACATATGACAATAAATATTGAGAATCCCAATGATCAGACCAACAGACTCTTCCCATGAGGAGGGATGAGACCTCCTTCTCGCAGGTGCAAACTGCCTGTGCCCAGAGGAGCCGGGTCCGAGGCCGGCCTGCGGCTTGGTGCAGCGGAGCTGAAGCAGAGTCCCTGAAGCGCAGCAGCTTGGAAGCGGTTTACTGTCCGAAAAAGGGTGGTCTTGGGAAATGAGTTGTGTGACAATGTCAACACAAGTTTTTGTAAGTGCAATATTTATAATGCTATTTGATGGATCTGTATGCATTTGCTCTGAGGTTGATTCTTCTCTTACATTTTTAAAAATCAATGCCTAATAAGATATTTTTAAATGCTTACGTAGCAATCATTAAACTTGTTTTTACAGAAAGTGGAAGACTGTAGAAAGAATAATAAAATCTAATGGAAACCCAGCTGCCATTAGGTCCTTTCTGTGTTGGAGAGCGTGCTCAGCAGCAGCAGCAGCTTGCCAGGCCTTTCTCCCGAGGCTGGGGGCGGGGAGAAGATTTGTCGTGCTGGAGCAAGATCAGACCACACCACTTGTTGAAGTTAAAAGCCTTTATTTAGCCAGTGGTTGAGAACCCTGAGCGAAGGAAACAGGCAGGGTTATATGCAATAGTTAAATCGGGGCCAAGCTGAAAGGGAACATTCGGGCTTACATTTCTTGCTTATCCGGCAGGCAGGACACAGGGAGGGACGAGGGGAACATCTGCTGGTGGGTCAGAGTCTGCCAGGATAGTGGGGGGAGGGAGGGCAGAGATAGCTGGGTGTCTGAGGTTATACAAAATGGGAGTTTTTAACAAAATGGAGTCTTTATTTTAAAGATCATTTTATTGGGGGCTCTTACAGCTCTTATAATCCTACATCAGTTATATCAAGCATATTTATACATCTGTTGCCGTCATCATTTTCTAAACATTTACTTTCTAGTTGAGCCCTTGGTATCAGCTCCTTTTTCCTCCTTCTTCCCCTACCCTCCCACCCTAGTGAACCCTTGAAAAAATATAAATTATTATTATTTTCATAGCTTACACTGACCACTATCTCCCTTCACCCTGCTTCTGTTGTAGGACTCCCTTGTGGAGGGGAGGGGCTATGTGTAGATCATTATGAGCAGTTCACCTTTCCTCCTCTCCCCCCCCACCTTCCCCCTAGCCTCCTAGTATTGATACATTTCTGTTATTGAGGGGGTTTCCTGTCCTGGATTCAGTGTATTTGTAAGCTCTTATCTGTACCAGTGTACATACTCTGGTCTAGCCAAAACTGAAAGGTAGGACTGGGGTCATGATAGTGAGGGGTGAGGAAGCCTCAAAAAAACAGAATATTGTGTTTCATCTGTGCTACACTGCACCCCGGCTGAGTCATCCCTTCTTTGTAATCCTTCCGTGAGGGGATGTCCTATAGTCTACAGATGGGTTTTGGCTCTCTGCTCCAACCCCCCTTATTCTCAACAATATGTTTTTTTGTTTTGTTTGTTTGGGGTCTTCTCATGCCTGTTACCTGATCCCATTAATCTCGTGATCACACGGGCTGGTCTGCTTCTTCTGTGTGGGCTTGTTTCTCCACTAGATGGCCACTTGTTTAACTTCAAGCCTTTACAATCCCAGACACTTCACCACATCTGCTTTTGCACCCATTTTGTCTTCAGTGATCCTGTCGGTAGGGTGGGCATCAAAGAATGCCAGGTTGTTAGAACAAAGTGCTCTTGCGTTGAGGAAGGACCTGAGCAAGAGGTCCAAAGTTCGTCCATTTCCTCTATGTATTGCCATAGAAATATATGTACATAAGCCAATATCTCTATTTTTATTAATATATTTACATACATACACACTCATGTTTCTACCTCTATCCATAGCTTTGCTTCCTACATCTTTCCTCTGTTTCCTTTTACCTTCCTTCTTCCCCACCATCACATTCACCCTTCTTCTCAGGTCGTAATTCCTCTCAGCTGTTGCTGCAACACCACCAGGATCTCTACATCCTCCTCGTTGTTGTGTTTAATTCCCTAGTTGTTCCCTTGTCTATGGCTTTGTTTTCTCACCACTTCCTTCCCCTGCCACCTCCTCCCCTCAAGGCCCTTGAGAACTGTCAGTCCCATTGATTTCTCCTCGGGCTTGCTTCCCTTGCCTATCTTATATAGGTAGACAAAACAATAACGGAGACTAAACAAAATATCTAAGAAAAAGAGGATGGGGGGGACAAGGGAAAAGTATCATACATAGTTCCGGGTCTGTCCACTTAAGACTATCTCCCCACTGGTTCTGGGGGGTTCTGGGAACTGCCTCTCCTAGCCTGAAGTCTGTTTGGGGGGCTTTTTATGGGCTTTGTGGCTTTTCTTTGCTCCCGTTGCTAAGCTGTTACCTTTCTTGGTTCGTCCTACTGTCTTGCTACTTAGACCAGACTCACTCCCCGTCATGTGTCCCCAGTATTGTCCTCTGTCATAGTATGTCTCAAGCTTTTGTCGGCCCTACAGACCTCTCTGTGTCTTAGCTGCTGCGTGCAGAGACATCGTCCTCAGGTGTGCCAGTTTGGAGTCTAGTCCCTCACTCTCTTTTTCCTTCTTGGTTTGCTTCTGTTTGGGTGTGGCAGGCCAGCCTCTCTCCCAAACCTGTAGGTTTAATGTTGTCCTCTGTAGCACATACTTCTAGGGACTCTGATTAGGACCAACCCTGTAGACTTCTCTGCTCGTGAGTTGCTGTACGTGGTTACGTTGCCCTTAAGGTTTGGCACTCTGTGGTGGGGTCTGTACTCACACTCCCATTTCTAAGGAGATATAAACAATACCCTCCTCCTGGGTGGATTAGTGCCCTGCTCCCCCAATGCCATCATCTCCCTCTTCCCCTCCCCTCCTCTTTCTCTCTTCCGCCCCCACTTTGCCTTTCTTTGTTTTGGGATGGCATGTACATCCTGGGGCTTAACCTGTCCCCTGCCTGTACCTCACCCTGTATAGTGTGAGATAAGTGCCTTTTCTTCTGTGCCTGCAGTGCCGGTTGTACTTACCTCAGGGGACTCATGTTGTACTTATCCTTTTGTTGATTGGCTAACTTCGCTTAGCATAATTTCCTCCATCTCTTCCCATGAGCTGAGTGATTTTTAGGGATGCGTAGTACTCCATTGTGTATGTGCCAGAGTTTTCTTTTTTTTTTAATTGTTTTATTAGGGGCTCATACAACTCTTATCACAATCCATACATACATCAATTGTGTAAAGCACATTTGTACTTTCATTGCCCTCATCATTCTCAAAACATTTGCTCTCCACTTAAGCCCCTGGCATCAGGTCCTCATTTTTCCCCTCCCTCCCTACTCCCCCACTCCGCTCCACGAGCCCTTGGTAATTTATAAATTATTATTTTGTCATATCTTGCCCTGTCCGACGTCTTCCTTCACCCACTTTTCTGCTGTCCGTCCCCCAGGGAGGAGGTCACATGTAGATCCTTGTAACCGGGTCCCCTTTTCCAACCCACTCTCCCTCTACACTCCCACTCATTGCCACTCACACCACTGGTCCTGAAGGGATCATCCGCCCTGGATTCCATGTGTTTCCGTTCCTATCTATACCAATGTACATCCTCTGGTCTAGCCAGACTTGCAAGGTAGAATTCAGATCGTGATACTAGGGCGGGGGGAGTGGGGAGGAGGAAGCATTTAGGAACTAGAGGAAAGTTGTATTTTTCATCATTGCTACATCGCACCCTGACTGGCTCGTCAACTCACTGAGACACCTCTGCAAGGAGATCTCCAGTGGCCTACAAATGGGCTTTGGGTCTCCACTGTGCATTCCCCCCATTCGCTATGGTACGATTTTTTGGTCTGATGATGCCTTATGCCTGATCCCTTCGACACCTCATGATGGCACAGGCTGGTGTGCTTCTTCCATGTGGGCTTTGTTGCTTCTAAGCTAGATGGCTGCTTGTTTACCTTCAAGCCTTTAAGACCCTAGACGCTATACCTTTTGATAGCCGGGCACCATCAGCTTTCTTCACCACATTTACTTATACACCGATTTGTCTTCAGCGATCATATCATGGAGGTGAGCACACAATGATATGATTTTTTGTTTTTTGATGCCTGATAACTGATCCCTTTAGCACCTCATGATCACACAGGCTGGTATCTTGTTCCATGTGGGCTTTGTTGCTTCTGAGCTAGATGGCGGCTTGTTTACCTTCAAGTTTTTAAGACCCCAGACGCTATATTTTTTTATAGCCGGGCACCATCAGCTTTTTTCACATTTGCTTATTCACCCGCTTTGTCTTTAGTGCTTGTGTCGGGAAGGTGATCATCATAGAATGCCAATTTAATAGAAGAAAGTTTTATTGCATTGAGGGAGTACTTGAGTCGAGACCCAATGTCCCTCTGCTACCTTAATACTAAACCTATAATTATAAAAACATCTATTTCCCTATCCTCATATATAAATATATTTGAATATGTACATGTCTTTATCTAGACCTCTATGAATGCCCTTTGCCTCCCAGCTCTTTCCTCTATTTCCCTTGACTTTCCTCCTGTTCCACTTTCATGCTCAGTCCCACCAGGGTTTCAGCAATTCCTCTATGTGCCAGAGTTTTCTATTCCACTCATCTATCGATGGAAATTTAGGTTGTTTCCAATACTTTGCAATTGTGAATTGCACCACAATAAACATTGCAGCCCAGTTGGCTGGTCATGTCTATTTCTTACCACTTCTGGGTATATGCCCAATAGAGGGTTTGCTGGGCTGTAAGGTAGCTCAATTTCCATTTGCTTTAAATATTGCCAGATCACTTTCCGCAGTGGCTGTACTTGTCTACATGACTAGCAGCAGCAGAGGAGAGTTCCCATCTTGCCATGTCCCCTCCTATACTCATATTGCTCTCTGATTTTCTGATCCTGAAGGCTATCCTCAAGGGTGTTAGGTGGCATCTTATAGTTTTAATTTGTATTTCTCTGGTGGCTAATAATCTAGAACATTTTCTCATGTGTATTGGCTGTTCGGGTCTCCTCCCTACTGAAACTTATGTTCAGGTCTTTTGCCTACTTCCTTAGGTGGTTATCCCCTTTCCTTAGGGATCAACTGTTTCCTTCTTTTTTGTAGGGCAGGAGGGTATTATGTTAGTCTGGGCTGACTAGAGAAACAAATCCAGAGACACTCATATGTGTAATAGAGAACTTTATATCAAAGAGTAATTATGTATTAAGAAAACATCCCAGCCCAGTCCAGATCAAGTCCACAAGTCTGATATTAGCCCATATGTTCAATACCATTCTATAAATTCTTCTTCAGGCTCACTCAACACATGCAATGACACCAAATGCAGGAAGATCACAGGCCAGTAGGTGGAAAATCTTGTGGATCCAGTGGCGGTGGAAGCATCTCAGCATTGGCAGAGGTTTCCATGTGGCTCCTCCAGCTCCAGGGCTCTGGTTCC